TGTGATCTAAGGTGCAATTAAAACCCAGGAGGGCATGGAGCTACATGCATTACATAATACAGTTTACTGAGCGGTCGTCCAAACAACCAGCCTAAAACAACAAGATTAAAAAAACCCAACAACTTACGTCACAGTAACTGCACTTGTAAAGTCTCTTTCTGGTGTGACTCTTCTGGTGCACTTTCAGGGAATTTGGAGCTTTGTAAGCCTTATCACACAGCTCACATTTATAAGGTCTCTCCTCAGTGTGGGTAAGTTTGTGGATTTGTAAGTTGCTGTATGTAACAAAGCGTTTGCCACACAGATCACAGCAGCACACATCCTGCCCGGTGTGAATGCGCAGATGTTTATTTCGGCTCCCCAGATGACTAAACGTTTTTCCACAAACGTCACAGCTGTATAGCTTTATTCCAGAGTGGGTAATTTGATGAATCCATAAATTTTTCCTGCAAGTAAAAGCTCTGCCACACTGATCACAGCTGTATGGTTTAAGTCCGCTGTGGATGAGCTTGTGATTTTCCAAGCCTTCTTTGCGGGTGAAACACTTCCCACACTGATCACAGCTGAATGGTTTAGCTCCGGTGTGGAAGACTTCGTGTCGTTTTAGGCTCTTCATCTCAGTGAAAGACTTTCCACACAAGTCACACCTGAATGGTTTCACTCCACTGTGGATGACTTTGTGATTTTTTAAATGTCCAGCTTGAGTATAAGACTTTCCACACAAGTCACACTTGAATGGTTTCACTCCACTGTGGATGACTTGATGACTTTTTAAATGTCCAGATCGAGTATAAGACCTTCCACACATGTCGCACCTGTATGGTTTAATGCTGTGGATGAATTTATGCATGCTCAAGCTGCTTTTCTGGGTGAAACTCTTCCCACACTGATCACAGCTGTATGGTTTAATGTCACTGTGGAAGACAAGGTGTCTTTTTAGGCTACTCATGTGTGTGAAAGACTTCCCACACTCATCACAGCTGTATTTTCTCTCTCCCTTTCTTCTGTGAGGTTTGTCGGCCTCCTGAGAGCGCTGACTTCCTGCTCCATGTTGGTCCTGCAGTGACAGAGATACAAAATGAGGTAATGAGTGAAACGCAATTATGGAACATCCATCCATCCGCCAATTATCAACAACAGGGTTGTGGTGGACAATTAAGGGTTATATTGTGGAAACGCCACTAATCTACTGCAGGGCTAACACATACAAACAGACAACCTTTCATGCTGACGGCCAGTTAAAGGTCACTGATTCAACCTAAGATAACCTTCTGACTGTTTCTAATAATAGATCCTTGTACACCTGATGCTGAAACAAGAATGTGCATTTGGCAGCAATGCTAATTACAATATGGGCAATGAATACCGACTGCCGTCACCACTCGGTACCAGACTTATTAGTCACTTAATCTTAGGGCTGCTCGATTATGGCAAAAATGATAATCACGATTATTTTCACTGAAATTGAGATCTCGATTATTTGACGATATTTATTTAACAATAACAATGTGTTGAATAATGACTTTAAAGATTGTCAAAA